CGCCACTTTAATATTAATAAAATAAGCCACTAAAACCAAAGGTGTTAAAGCTGTTTGGCATTTGAGCTATGAACGGAATCTGCTCGCCTTTGCTCCTTGCAGTGAAAAATACCCTTTCCTGAATAATTAGCTCAGCTGAAGAAGCTTATGAATTCTTCCCTAAAGTCCTTTTTCCTTCCGTGTAGTGAGGAGAAAATTTTCCACCTCTCACCGTTGCAATCCAGATGACGGATGAGTGTCACGTAGGTGACAAATGTGCCTGAGCAGGAGCCCTGTGCATGAACTGCGTGGAGAACAGGGGAGGCTCAAACCCAGGCTCGGATTTTACATTTGAATTAACGTCTGCAAAGGGGATGCAGAATTAATGGGCTGAAGGACGAGTCACACTAATTTCTCGTTTRCCTCAATAACAGGAAATCTCTGGGACTAGTGGAGAATGTGGTGACGGTGTTTGTGAACATGTCYCTTACCAATGGTGTCCAAAGGTGGCCAGATCCCTCGCCCCTCTGCAGATGAGCTCCAGGTTTTACACACTGGAGAGGCAAAAGGGTCTAGATTTCATTCCCACCTCTGTCACGGATTTGCTGTAATTTTGTATCCAGACATCCCGATCAATTTTGAAATTCTGTATTTCTAGCTGCTGCTCCAAAGGAWCCCAGAACCTGATTTTCTTCTCTTCCACTGGGTCATTGATGGGCTTTTGGCACCTCAGGCAATCAAATTGCAGGTGTCCCAAAGCAGGTACCTCAAACCCAAGGTACTCAACTCGTGATTATTGCCAGAAAGACAACTCCTTAACCCAGCAGAACGCTGAGATCTGAAGAAAAACATTACGTTCATCTACTATGCCGGGAACCAGCACCGAGTAAAAACCTGAGTAAAGATGAGGATGAGAGGAGACAAGTATTTTATTTTTAAACCTTATGAATTTCTGAGTAGTTCTGCTTTGTCGCTTTCCTAGGGAGGAAGGCAGGGTTGGGAAGATCAGAATTTCCAACTCTGCTCGCTCCCTGATACCACGCTGAAGACTTGTATTACCTTTAATTGATGTTTCTGAGTGCATCCTCATTGATTTACTCCAGCCGTGCTCTTTATGCAGGGAACATTCTATTCTCAGAGCGTAATCTAGACCCATGCAAACAATATAGATGTTTCCTGATAACATAATTTAGAAAGAGGAGATGTAATTACTGCCTGTGCTGAATGCACAGCATCTCTGTGCTTGCCAGAGCASTGCAAACCCATGACCCCTTTCAGAATCCATACAGGGAGAAAAGTCCCAAATCCTTCAATGTGGTTCTCATTTTGCTGTTTCCATCTTATTAAATATGCTGGTCCTTGTGCCTTTGATTTTAGCTTCCTAAGGATAGCTCATGCTGAAATTATTTAGAAGGCTCTCAGAGGCTCTTAGATGAAATTCAGGGATCATTCCTGCGGAAATGTGTCTATTTGTGGAAGAGGGAACAGCAGCAACTGGGGCATCTGCTGTGGAGAAATGGGGAGGGGACCCAGCAAGTTCTCCCTGGGGTAACTTGTTCTTTTAAGGAGTGCAACAAAGCAGGTTTTTTGTTATTAAGGAGTTCCTTAAATACTCGAAGAGGAGGCTGGAACTCATCTGACCTGCTCCAAACCCAGTCAGGCTTGGCTGTGCTGAGTCCAGTTGCTGTGATTTAAAATGAGCAGCTGGAGTGCTTTTGTCTTCTAAATCATCCCACGAGCATTGTGCTTCATTGTCTTCTCTCTGATGGAAGGGTATCCAGGATGAGACATTACAATCTGAATTTTCATCTCTAGGGTCAAATCTGTCTCAGTTCAGTAGTGCCTGGAAAGCTCTGCCCTGCAGTGGGGTTTGATGTGAAATAAGCACAGGTCCCTCCACGGCGCAGTCAATCGAGATCCACAGCACATAAAAATCACCACTCTAATTGCTCCCTGTATCAGCTGCCTYGGGAAAAWMAAATAAAATAATAAATAAATAAAAATCAGCGACTGAATTGGCCCTGGAGACTGAGTCACTCTCCTCTCATTTAGACAGTGGTCCCTGCTGAACACTTTTCCACATTGCAAAGCCACCACATAATGGAACAATTCAGCTCAACTGACAGCCCTGGCTAAAATAGCCCTGGAGCGAGATAGGGAAGGTGTTGTAGGTCACTGCTGAGGTGCTTGGCAGGGCTGGCAGTGGGAACTGTGCCCACACCAAGAGAGATTTTCAAATTACTTCAGCCAGACCAGAATTAGCTCGCAAACCTGATGCAACGGTTCAGAGAGAAGCTCTTTTGTATTTTGAGTTTTGCTTGTCAGGTGGTGGCTTCTCCCTGTGTTCTGCAGCRGCAGATTCCCCACTGATTATCGACAGATTGGCTCTGGGACCCCCTATCAGAGGAAAAGACCCAACTCTCCAACCTTTTTCTTTGCTGGGATCTGATAGAGCCTGAATTTAATTTGCCTTATGATCCTGGGTAAAACCCAGCTACAGATAAAAAGCGTTTACAGCTTAAAACTCTTCCTAGCATGGCCCTCAGTAGGCCTTAAGGGCCAAAAATACTCATGATAATTGTTTATTATTATGTGAATCARACATGAGGGGAGCAGGAGTTGAATTCAGGACTGTTGGGATTGATAGAGAACGAGGACATCAACTTCAAGGAAAATAACAGCAACCAAACACGTTGTGAGCAAAAAGAAAACACAACAAAGAGGGACCAGTTGCCAAAATGAGGCTAAATATCACTGGTATTTAGCATTAATCTTTTTGTCTTTGTCTTGCTATACAACCTCCCAAATCTCCTGTCTGCTGGGACTGGACAACCCCGAGGGTTTGGTTTAAAACCAGTTCAGGTTGATTCTGCAGAGTGAGGGAGCTCATGACATAACAATGTCTAACTGTTCATGATGAGGAACCAAAGTGAAGTTCAATTTGTTCAAAAAACCACCATTTCTAAGGCAGAAGAGCAGCCAAATCAATGACTGAGAGGAACTAGAGGTGAAAGCTGAGAAAAAGAGATATAAATACATTTATTTTTAAACATTTTAATTTCAAGTCATAGGAAAACCATTCAATGTGTATCCTGGGGTTTCTTTAAACRGGGAAAGAAGATTAAAATACTAATCTCTGCCGATTTCCCTGTGCAGCAGCAAAAATGAGTGTGACTCTGAAGACTGACCCATGAGGAAAGATTAAGAGCAGCTAAATTTGTGTAGCTTGGCTAAGCAACAACCAGGGGGGACACCCTGGCAGGGTGCAAAACCAGAGAAAATGCAGTGTTATTTGGGAAGACAACAGAGCCAGGGGATGAAAATTAAGGAGAGGTCAGGCAGAGTGGTAGAGAAAAGTCCACTAAGGCTCTGGCTTGTATTTTAGGGAGTGAAAGCTATGATATTCCGAGGATAAAAGTACAGGGGTGAATCAGGCACTGGTGTGAGGATCATCAGATGCAACTGGTGACTTTGAGCACTTCTATCCCCGAGTTTGCAAAGAAAATCACCTTTAGGAAAGTGACAGCTCAGCTCATACTATAAATCATCTCTTCCCAAGCTCAGCATCCAGCAGCCACYGATCAGTTCTYAAAATCTTGAGCGAAAAATAACCCRCAAGGAACAATCCTGCACTCTGAGGGGATGGACAAGCTAATCTAATACATCTTTGTCATCYCTGGTTTCCATGACAGTTGCATAATCAGACATTTATGTAAGTAGAGGTTTCCTCCTTAAATAGCAGCCTATGATCTCATCTGCACCTACGGTGTAACCCATTTGAATGGAAATGATGTGCCAGTCATGTGTACAACTAATTTTTTAATGCTTCTCTCTTATTTTTTTTATATTTATTTATTGTGGCGCATCAGCCTGCGGAGTGCTGCTCACACACGACTGACTGTTCTTGTTGTGGTCTTCTTGTGGTTCAGAAATATCCACATCCCCCAGGTCCAGTTGATGGTCAGGCTCACGTTTGCTCAGTAATTCAGTGTGAAAAGTGATGGTTTATCCACAAACCCCCGTGCAGCACCTGAGCCCTCCTGGAACCACGGGAGGGTTTGGATTGGAAGGGACCTTGGAGCCCACCCAGTTCCACCCCTCTGGGCAGGGACATCTTCCACCAGAGCAGGCTGCTCAGAGCTCCCTCTAACACTGGACACTCCAAGGGATGGGACAGCCACAGCTTCTCTGTGCACCCTGTGCCAGGGCTCACCACCCTCACAGGGATGATTTTCTTTCTGATATCTAAACTAAACCTACCCTGTGTCAGTTTGAAGTCATTCCCCTTGTTCTACCACTCCATCCCTTGYCCMMAGTCCCTCTCCAGCTCTCTTGGATCCCCTTTAGGCACTGGAAGGGGCTCTGAGCTCTCCCTGGACCCTTCTCCTGTCCAGGTGAGCACCCCCAGCTCTCCCAGCCTGGCTCCAGCCCTGCTCAGCTCTGTGGCCTCCTCTGGACTGGCTCCAGCAGCTCCACATCCTCCTTACRTTGGGGACCCAGGGCTGGGTGAATTATTTCAGGAGGTTGATTCCAYAGAATCACCTTYCTCRACCTGCTGGTGAAGCTTCTTTTGATGCAGCCCAAGCTGTGGTTGGCTTTTGGGGCTGCCAGTGCAYGTTTAGGGTCAGGTCCAGCCTCTCATCCAGCAGCACCCCAAGTTCTCCACACAGCAGCTCTCTTCAAGCAGCTTTAACCTGCAGAGGTTATGGGCTGCCCTCATACCCTGTTTCAGATTTTGTTTCAGATTTTCCAGGATTTTTTTCAGGATTTCCTCACCACACCCTTCCCCAAGGGGCTGGGGTGAGGACCATAGAGGGAGAGAGCTTCAGGGGTTTGCCTTGGCCAATTTGGGATTTTTCAGGGTGGGAGAAAACTCCTAGGACAGCTCTACTGCTGCTGCAGAGACTGCCTGGAGACTCCTCTGAGCTCACACAGAGTATCATAAAGCAATGCC